CGCCGGTTTGGCGGTCAAACGATAATTGCGTTTGGCGGAGATCAGCTCCGCCTCCTTACTTTTGAAGACACTTTTCAGAGTGTCTTCTTAAGTGTGTAGTGCCGTAAATAGTATTATCTTGTAATTTCTCACCACAATATTTACATTAAGCTATGTATTTAATGTTACCGTTATTGTCGACATCCTCGAATGTGTTGAAGTGCTCCCAAACTGCTGAGGTGCGCTTGCATTTCTTCTTAGAACTTGCAACACTTGCACTAGCACTACCGCTTGAAAAGTACTCACGGTCCGAAGATATACACCCGGAACCGATCATCCTTTTTAGAAAAGGAAATACTCACATAGTAGATTATGTCTGTGTAATGAAAGTGTGCAGCTCATCATACCACTAATCAAGAAGCGGTAAAATGTCTGTCTCGTAAAAAGTGCAGAGCCATAATTCCACTAAATAAGAAGTGGATCCGTACGGGTTTCAGGACCTGCCCCCAAGGATGTGATTCCCACATCCCGATCTCTGAGGCCACCATGCATTGTATCATTCCTTAAAATATTTCATTTTAAGAAATGATACGCTTTGAAATCTCATTTCCAAAATCATTGGAAAACTTAATAGCATTCCTCATGCTATTTCTTTAAAATCATTTTCTTTCCACCATAACCAGAAGAAGCCATTATGAAAAATAAGAGAAATTGAAAGTGCTTTGAGAGAGATTAAGAGAGATCGAGAGAGATTTAAGCGAGATTATGAGAGATTTGAGAGAGATTAAGAGAGATTAAGAGAGATTAAGAGAAATTGAGAGAGAATGAGAGTTTTTAGGTGAGGAAAATGGTTGGGGGGAGGGGGGGTATTTATAGGAAAATTTTTTGCTTGAAAAAAAAAAATTTTCCTCCAAAAATTCAGGTCCAACGACTAGTAACATTTTCGGGCAATCGGGCGGGTCGGACAGGATTCGGGCGGTTCGGGCAACGGTAAAAAAATATAGCCGTTGGGGTTCGAATTTTTGGGTATAAATCGGGCGGCGGGTCGGGTTCATGCAAAAAGATCCGTTTGGTTCAAAATTCGGGATAACGATCAAAAAAATTTGGGCAAATTAGGGCACATTCGGGTAAAATCCGGCGGACAGCGGGGGACGACTTCTCCACGGCGGCGGGCAGTCAGGGGAATGAATATTTTCGGGCTGTCTGAACCCGTGCCCGAAAAATACCCTGGACAGGCGGCGAATGGCACCTGCCCGCCGTGCCTGAAAATTTTCGAGCACCGGGCATGCCCGCCGCCTGAACTTGCACCACTACCCCTAATCAATCGAGAGTTAATTCTTATCCCCGTACCTACCACCACGAACCTATATAATTGCTCATGGCGGTCCTATAATTAAGGGTTCATATAAAAATGTCATCCCCAGTAGATTTTGAATAGACTCCATTTATGTTGCTTATCTTATGATAAGTTTTGATATCCAATAATTTAGTTATTAGTACCTAAAAACCGTGCACCAATAAGTTGACTTCAAGAAGAGAGTGAGAGAGACCAGAGAAGAAGAAGAAAGAAAAGAAAAAAAAAAGAAAAAAAGGGGGGGCTGGTGCATGGGAAGGGAAAGGGGGAAAAGAAAAAAAAAGAAAAGAAAAAAAGAAAAAGAAAAAGAAAAGAAAAGGAAAGGAAAAAGAAAAATGGAAAAAAAGGGAAAATGTATTAAATTTAAGTGTGTTTTCTAAAAATTTTTGGGGTGAAATTATAAATACTGAAAATAACTTAAAGTCTCTTGATTAATTATGAAAATCAAATTAGGCACACTAATAATTCACAGTTAAGCATAATTAAACATGTTTAATTCTAGAGGGCGTTACAACTACCTTGAATCTAAGCAATGTTATCTCTAATTCTTTTAATATGACTTGACATTGATTTTAAACCGGATTTTACTATTAAATTAATTATATGACGTGCACAACATTGGTGAAATATATCATTATTATCGAAAAACTTAAAATCATTTTCAAAAAGTTCTATTGCTTTACTATTTGCAGTTGCATTATCTAATGTTATGGCCATTATTCTATCTCTTAAACTATATTCATCAATAACATATAAAATTGTGTTATATATTAAATTGGCAGTATGTGATCCTCTAACACATTTGAAACCTAAGATTCTCTTATCCAAATCAAAACCTTTATAATAATGTCCGATTACAACTAAATAATCCTTGTTGGCAACGGCGGACCAAATATCCTCCGTTAACGCAACGCAACCACTAGGAAAGTGTAGAAGGTTGATTAATGCTTCCTTTTCTTGTTTATATAATTTTAATGCATCTTTCCTAAGAGTAGTTCTAGAAAAAAATTGTGCATTAGGATTATGTACAATTTTAATATAACGCTGCCAATTTCTTTGTTCAGTAAAACTTAGTGGTTCATCTAATGTGGCTATTAATCGTGCCATTTCCATACGATCAGCTTACGGATCATATTTTCACGTGCTTAGATCGCCGGTTTGGCGGTCAAACGATAATTGCGTTTGGCGGAGATCAGCTCCGCCTCCTTACTTTTGAAGACACTTTTCAGAGTGTCTTCTTAAGTGTGTAGTGCCGTAAATAGTATTATCTTGTAATTTCTCACCACAATATTTACATTAAGCTATGTATTTAATGTTACCGTTATTGTCGACATCCTCGAATGTGTTGAAGTGCTCCCAAACTGCTGAGGTGCGCTTACATTTCTTCTTAGAACTTGCAACACTTGCACTAGCTTGCACTAGCACTACCGCTTGCCTCTCAGCCACAGCCACTTGTGCCACCACCATTGCGTCCCCGACCTCTAGTACGTCCACCAGGGGTCGGATTTGCAGTTTGATCAGCAACTCTTTCCATAGTTTACGATTCCGGCGATTGAAAAACATTAGGAAATTGCCCTTCTTCGATGTTGAATTGGGCATCAATGGGAATATCACCACCATAACCAGAAGAAGCCATTATGAAAAATAAGAGAAATTGAAAGTGCTTTGAGAGAGATTAAGAGAGATCGAGAGAGATTTAAGCGAGATTAAGAGAGATTTGAGAGAGATTAAGAGAGATTAAGAGAAATTGAGAGAGAATGAAAGTTTTTGGGTGAGGAAAATGGTTGGGGGGAGGGGGGTATTTATAGGAAAATTTTTTGCTTGAAAAAAAAAAATTTCCCCCAAAAATTCAAGTCCAACGACTAGTAACATTTTCGGGCAATCGGGCGGGTCAGGCAGGATTCGGGCGGTTCAGGCAACAGTAAAAAATATATAGCCGTTGGGGTTCGAATTTTTGGGTATAAATCGGGCGGCGGGTCGGGTTCAGGCAAAAATATCCGTTGGGTTCAAAATTCGGGCTAACGATAAAAAAAAAATTCGGGCATGTTCGGGCAAAATTAGGGCACATTCGGGTTACGCCGGAAAATTCAAAAAAAATCCGGCGGACAGCGGGGGATGACTTCTCCACGGCGGCAGGCAGTCAGGGGAATGAATATTTTCGGGCTGTCCGAACCTGTGCCCAAAAAATACCCTGGACAGGCGGCGAACGGCACCTGCCCGCCGTGCCCAAAAATTTTCGAGCACCGGGCATGCCCGCCGCCTGAACTTGCACCACTACCCCTAGCACCACTACCCCTAATCAATCGAGAGTTAATTCTTATCCCCATACCTACCACCACGAACCTATATAATTGCTCATGGCGGTCCTATAATTAAGGGTTCATATAAAAATGTCATCCCCAATAGATTTTGAATAGACTCCATTTATGTTGCTTATCTTATGATAAGTTTTGATATCCAATAATTTAGTTATTAGCACCTAAAAACCGTGCACCAATAAGTTGACTTCAAGAAGAGAGTGAGAGAGAGAGAGAGAGAGAGAGGCCAAGCTTGAAACAAGGGAAGTCGCATTCGCGTACATAAAATAAAAATCTAAAAATAGATCAAACAAATTAGAAACCATTAAAATGATCATATCAACCTAATTTGGCATTATAATTTTCCTTCCATTGTTCAATTCAAACAACTATTGATCATCCAACTTGCACCTCATTTCTCTCCATCTGCATGAAAAAGAAAAATTCCGTGAATATATTTTTCACGTAAACATGCATGAGGTTTTCGTAAAGAGCTAGATCGAGAAGATATATACAACAAATTAAGATGGAAACTCATCCATCAAGTCCGCCAAAGAAAACGTTATCATCATCTTCCTCCTCGTCCGTCGGCCGCCCACTGGTAAAGGTCGCCCGGTGGACGTCCAGCGGCCGAATTGTGAGCCTGTCTCGGGACGATGACCTAGACATGTCAGGCCAGTTCTCCGGCCAAAACGACTATATCAATTACACCGTCATGATGCCGCCGACCCCGGACAACCAGCCCGTGGCTGCAGGGTCCGGTGACACAGGGACAGCCTCGGAACTGAAGCCAGACTCAGGATATGGCGGCGGCGATGGTGGAGCAAAGATGGATAGGAGAATGTCAGTGTTGACATCGTCGAACAATAAATCGATGTTGTTGAGGACGCAGACCGGAGATTTCGATCACAACCGTTGGTTGTTCGAGACGAAAGGAAAGTATGGGATCGGTAACGCTTATTGGTCGCCGGAGGAGGAATCGTATGGACTGTCAGAAGGCGTGAACGTGTCGGATTTCATGGACAAACCTTGGAAGCCTTTAACTAGGAAGGTTAAGGTTCCTTCCGGGGTTCTTAGCCCTTACAGGTGCACTGCATATGCCAGACATATAATATGTATATAGTTTTCTAGATTTAGTGAAATAATAGTCATAGCAATTCAATAGGACTAATTATCTAAGAAAATATTAAATTTCGGAGTTTATATTTTTTACTGAGTAATTTCTTAAGTTAATTAACATTGTGCTAAAAAAATTTCCAATAATTTCTTAAGTCTCATAATAATAAGATGTCAGTTCTTATTCTTCAAAAAAAAAAAAAAAAGATGTCAGTTCTTATAATTTCTCGTGCTCACAAAAGTAAAGCATAATGTCTCTAATTGATATCCTTCTCTGTCTAACATCAACAGTATTTACTTTTTAGGTTTTTAACCTTGTGTTCGCTCCCTTCTCATACTTTGTCACCTTCCATTTTTTAAACGTTTTTTTTTTTTTAGCTAATTAAGTCCCTAAATTTTTTTTAAGCAAAAAAAATCCCTGAATTTTCATAAATAATGGGAATTAACTCCAATCATTAAAGGAAACGGAGACGTTTGGTTCATGGATTAGAATCATGTAATTAGAACTATTTTCGATTTACGTGTATTTTTTGTGAGAAAAAATACTGTAGCGAATCATAAATCATGATTCAAATCATTATTTGAATACTCTAACCAAACATCCCCTAATTACCAACAAAGCTGGACTAAAATGTCAAGCTACAGGGAGTTCAAGGACTAAACTCTGTTAAAAATGAAAGTTAATTGCTATAAATTTTTTTTTTGCATAATTTAAACTCTGTTAACAATTAAAGTTAATTGCTACAGTTTTATTATTCAAGGACTAAATTATCAAGGAAAAAAAAGTACAAGAAGGAAAGCACTAAAACATGAGATAACGATTAAGGGGTTCTAAAACCCTGTTCCTTTCAACTCCAATTGCATGTCATACTCTCTTTTAAGATAATAAAACACCGAGTTCTTAGTTTAGATATGCTTATCTCTTTATAATAATCCTAACCATGCTTAGATTAATCTCATTTTGTTAAATAGGTTGTTGGTGGTGATCCGAATGGCAGTGCTAGTACTTTTCCTAGCATGGCGAATCCAGAATCCAAACACAGACGCAATATGGCTTTGGGGCATGTCCATTGTTTGTGAAGTTTGGTTTTCCTTCTCATGGCTTTTGGATGTCCTCCCCAAGCTCAACCCCATCAACCGTGCCACCAATCTCGCCGCCCTCCATGACAAGTTCGAGAAGCGTACTCCGTCCAACCCTAATGGTAGGTCCGACCTCCCAGGTGTCGACGTCTTTGTCTCCACCGCCGACCCCGATAAGGAGCCTCCTCTAGTCACTGCAAACACAATACTTTCCATCCTTGCTGTTGACTACCCCATTGAGAAGATCTCATGCTACATTTCGGATGATGGAGGTGCCATACTTACCTTTGAGGCAATGGCTGAGGCTGTTAACTTTGCTCAGGTCTATTTACAATTCTTGAACCAAAACTCGTATGAACAAAATAATCAGAAAAAAACCCAAATCAATTTCACTCTCTAAAGTGTGGTCAAACATCTAGTGATAATCTTCCTCAAAAGTCAAAACATGTAGCATTTACCTCCCTATGTGGAATTAGCTTATTGTTCTGTTTTCACGTTTTCGAACTCTCTAAACACGTCTAACTTTGCCACGTTGTTTTTCTTTTTTTAAGAATTTGAGCTTTTCTGTACTTTAATTGAAATCAACGGATACTTATTTCCAGGTTTCGTCTTTGTTTATACGAAAAGAACTAAATGGGTTAAAAATATATGCAATTTTACATGCCCACCCTCTATTTCCGTCTTAATTGTCTTATATATAAAAAGTTCATACATGTCTAACTGAATTTCCAAAACAAGAGGAGGAGAATAAGTTGAATCAAAGATGTTGGAAATACCCATATCAAAATCACTCAAAAATCATGTAGCATTCTTACCTTTCTAGAATCAACTCATTGGTATGTTGTCAAATTCAAGTTTTAAGTAACTTAATTTTGTCACACCCTTTGTAATTCTAAGCATGTTTGTTGCCACATTAACATGTTTTTTTTTTTGGTGACAAAACCATACTTTCTTGTCTATCCTCTATATTCACTTATTTTCTGATTATGCACAGGTTTGGGTACCCTTCTGTAGAAAGCACGACATAGAGCCAAGAAATCCAGATAGTTACTTCAGCTGCAAAACTGACCCCACTAAGAACAAAAAACAACTCGATTTCGTAAAGGATCGGCGTTGGATCAAAAGAGAATACGACGAGTTTAAAGTGAGAATCAACGGTCTACCGGAGGCGATAAGGAAGAGAAGCGAAATGTACAACTCAAGAGAGGAGGCCAAGGAGAAGAAACTTGCGCGAGAGAGAAACGGTGGCGTGTTGCCACCAGGGGAGCAAATCAAGGTCGCGAAGGCAACATGGATGGCAGATGGAACACATTGGCCTGGGACATGGCTCATTCCTTCAGCTGAACATGCCAAGGGAGATCATGCTGGTATCTTGCAGGTACGTGCGGGCTGAAATGGTAAACTTTGTTTCAAAAACAAGCACTCTTATACGGCAACAGCAATGTTAGTTCTAGTCCAATTAGATTATGCATTGTATATTAGGCGAGGCTTAGCTAGGTACACATGAATTTAGGATTGTACATGCAATGTTGGTAGCAATATCCTTATCCTATATTCTCACGTGATACTTTTCTTCAGAAATCAAGACATGGCTAGAGGGTTATCATTGGTCCTTCGCAAAGTATCAGTCTTATAATGTAACATGTAGAAGTAAGAAGTACAACATGACATTTATTATATTTAACAATAATTTTGTTATAGTGCAATCAATGTCAATCGTTTTTAAAGCTATTGTTGTATAAAAAAAATGTCATGTTACACCATTTATTTCTTCGAGCTATTTGTAGCTTGTGAAGGACTTAAACCTTGCCTGTTACTAGATAGAAATATACACGTATAGTTAAAAAGAAAGAAGAAAAAAGATTAAAAAAAGAGAGAGGCGTGCCCTGTTATGCTTTTTGCTAGGGCATAATAATGGTAAGCATCAATAGAAGCATCTTTTAGCGTTGTTGCAATATATGCTTAAAAGACTACAGTAGAATTTAAATTATACACTAGGCTTGTTCTTTTAAACATTTTGCTAGATGGTGCACATGTCATGACATTTGTACCTGACTTTCTTGTTCTCTTTCTCCATTTTCCCCCGAGAACCTATTGAAACTAACTTAACTGAATTGGCAAAGAAAGCTCTAATAATCTCCCAAAATTGCAGGTAATGACCAAGGTCCCAGAGAACGACCCAGTAATGGGTCACCACGACGAGGAAAAGCTAGACTTCACAGGAGTAGACATTAGGTTACCAATGTTTGCATACGTCTCAAGAGAGAAGAGACCTGGCTATGACCACAACAAGAAGGCCGGAGCCATGAACGCCATGGTCCGAGCCTCGGCCATACTCTCCAATGGACCATTCATCCTCAATCTTGACTGTGACCATTACATCTACAATTCTCTTGCAATCAAGGAAGGAATGTGCTTCATGATGGATCGTGGGGGCGACAGAATTTGTTACATACAGTTCCCTCAGAGATTCGAAGGGATCGATCCGTCAGATCGTTATGCGAATCACAACACTGTCTTCTTTGATGGTAATGTACTTAAGTACTTTATCATAATTTTCATGTTCCAAAGTTGCTCCATATATGTTCTTTCGCCTTGCTTGCATCAGAACGGAATTCATTAGTTTGAAACATACAGGGCAAGTTTTCAAATCATTGATTTTAGAGGGTGGTCAATATTGCTCAAAAGTTGCACATTTATTGAGTACTAAAAAACTTGGTAAATTAGGCACATTTGTCCCTCCAGATTTCTAATAAACAAAACACTTATTTATCTTCCCTAAAAACACAATATTTAGAATTTTATGTGTTTGATGATAAATGAACATTATATTTTGCAATTTAAGTGTTTTATATTTTGCAATTTAAGTGTTTGACGACAAATGGAAAGTGTAGTTTAAATTCAAAATTTTTGCAAAAGATTTCCTTTTGAATTTTACTACGGACTCATCACATTTTCATTTTGTTTTTCATTCATTCTAAACAAAACGTTTTTTTTTTTGTCTTTTCTTTGTCATAGTACTAATAAAAGTACTTGTGTTTCATTTGGTCACTGAAAAAGAAATTATACCATTTTGTTTCCACAGGAAACATGAGAGCCCTGGACGGCCTCCAGGGCCCGGTGTACGTCGGAACCGGCTGCATGTTCCGGCGGTACGCGCTCTACGGCTTCCTCCCGCCGAGGGCGAACGAGTACTCCGGCATGTTTGGCCAAATCAAAACGACGGCTCCAAATTACGGGCAGATGGACACTCAGTCCGAGCTAGAAGATGACTCAGACACTCAGCCTCTAACTTCACACCCTGACCTTAACCTTCCAAAGAAGTTTGGAAATTCAACCATGTTCACCGAGTCCATTGCCATCGCCGAGTTCCAAGGGCGCCCCCTCGCCGATCACAACTCCGTCAAGAATGGCCGCCCACCCGGTGCCCTTCTCCTGCCCCGTCCTCCCCTCGACGCCCCCACCGTAGCCGAAGCCGTTGCTGTCATCTCCTGCTGGTAATTTTCCTGTTGCATTCTTTTGATTATCTCACAAGAAAACAAAGTTTACTAACGTCAGGAAAACAAAGTTTACTAACGTCAGGAAAACAAAGTTTACTAACGTCAGGAAAACAAGAACCAATAGATTATCTAACAATAAAGTTTAACAAAATTTTGTTTTCTTCAAACACAGGTACGAGGACAAGACCGAGTGGGGGGACAGAATAGGCTGGATATACGGCTCCGTTACCGAAGATGTGGTGACAGGATACCGCATGCACAACCGTGGGTGGCGGTCAGTCTACTGCATCACAAAGCGCGATGCCTTCCGTGGAACCGCTCCCATCAACCTCACCGACCGGCTACACCAGGTCCTCCGGTGGGCTACTGGTTCAGTCGAGATCTTCTTCTCCCGCAACAACGCTTTACTCGCCAGCCGCCGTCTTAAGTTCCTCCAACGGGTTGCCTACCTCAACGTCGGCATATACCCCTTTACGTCAATCTTCCTCGTCGTGTACTGCTTTCTCCCGGCACTGTCTCTTTTGTCAGGACAGTTTATAGTGCAAGGCCTTGACGTGGCTTTCCTCTCTTACCTATTGACGATCACAATCTGCCTCACACTCATATCACTCCTTGAAGTGAAGTGGTCCGGCATCGGACTGGAAGAATGGTGGAGGAATGAGCAGTTTTGGGTCATTGGAGGGACCAGCGCCCACCTCGTCGCGGTGCTCCAAGGCTTGTTGAAGATTATCGCCGGGATCGAAATATCCTTCAAGCTGACTTCAAAGTCTGCTGGAGACGACGAAGAGGATGTGTACGCAGATCTTTATTTGGTGAAATGGACGAGCCTGTTCATAATGCCTCTGACCATCATTGTGGTGAACATTGTTGCTGTCGTGATTGGGTGCTCAAGGACGTTGTATAGTGTGATTCCGCAATGGAACAAGCTCTTGGGAGGGACGTTTTTCAGCTTCTGGGTTTTGGCCCATATGTACCCTTTTGCCAAAGGATTGATGGGAAGGAGAGGGAGAGTTCCCACCATTGTGTATGTGTGGGCAGGACTGGTTTCCATTACTGTTTCTTTGCTGTGGATTTCAATTAGTCCTCCGGATGATACTCTCAGTGCCACCGGTGGGAATGTCCAGGTTTGATGAACTTAATAAAAAAGACGTAGAAAGTGTAGAAAACTAGTTTATGGAACATTCCAGGCAAATGTAGTCTAGAACTGTTTGTTGTGTTGCTACTAATTGCGTCTCTCTAGTTTTAGGTTTCCTTTTTTTATTTCATAGTATGTTGTGCTTTTGAGCATGTAGATTTTTCAAATGCAGAACTCAAATTTTCTTGTGTCCGTTGGATCATTTTCAGATTACAGGCACTTATTCCTGACATACAAATACACATATAAATACAAAAGAGGGGTGATGGATAGTATGCAAGAGAAAAGAGAAGGATCTCGTTCTGGCTTCTTTTCTCTCTGTTGGTAAGAATTTACTTGATTATAGGAACCATGTTTTCATCATAGCAGAAACTCACGAACGCGAACTGGCCTTTTTACCGCATTTGTAAAACCCTGCATGAAAGAAAGAAAACGAGAAAGATTAAGGGTCAGGAAGTTGATAACAAATAGAATAGTTGCAAACACGTGTATTCATGGCAGAAACAGTAGTCAATTTCATATCTTTAGTCCAAGAAAAATGCTTGGGGGCACCGATCTAAGCACCACAACTAATCTAAAGTGAGTACTATATTGTGGGACCGACCCTCTTTTAGTGTGTTGAGCACCAGACATACCCCTTACCCTTAGCATTAATCTTACTCCAAGCACTTCAGAAACCATAGTCCACATAATCACTCAAAAGGAGAAAGTGAATGTAGTACCATATAGATGACACCTTAGTGTCTTGTAGATTCAGACAGTGCGTACTTTGTAAGAGGACCATCGTAAAACTGCTTTAAAAAAAGACTGATAACGGACCAACTCTAAATCGATATTTATTATAACAGCAAAGGAATCTTTGCAAGACGAACTTAGGCCGAACTAAACTTGTCCAATCAGAAAACCATATAAATGTGATAAATATCCCAAGCATTTGACATAAATACTTCTAACAAATCAGATTATTTAAAGCCAACCTGGCAGCTAATCTATCCATGTTAAAATGAACTTGCGTGCATTAGAAAAATGGGCAGCGTAGAGTAGTTGAAAATATTTTATAATATATATAATTTTTTATTCTCCTTTCTCCTTAAATTTATCAGGAGGAAGAAGTGGTAAAGCTTTGTAGGTCCTGAATATATTATGGAAGACAAGAAGACTGCAGAATTGTAACAAGAATGAGCAAGTGCAACAACTTGAAAAGAAAACCAGACCATTATATACAAAATAAGACTTTGCTTTTTAAAAAAAAAAATAATAATAATTTTATTCTAATTTCTAAAACTAGAAGTGTATTCAAATGTGAGCAGAACTATGAACTGCATTGGAATTAAAAAGCTGGAAGAAATAGTAGAGTGAATATTCATGTACCTCATTAAACTTAAATAGCAATGGACGTAAATCTCTCTCTGAGGTTTCTTCCTTCCGCACAACAGTATCAGTATTCTGAGAATCTTTACTAAGCTTTCTAAACCTGGTGTTCGAAGTAAACATGAGAGATCAGAAACTTAAGGGAAATGTCTTGCAACATATCTACTCAATATTGAATGCTAAACTTTTCTCATTGCTTACCCTACAAATAGTATTAAGATTGTTTCCAAAGAAACTCTTGTTCTCACTGAATGTCAAAGAATTATATTGTACATTGCATGTTGCATAAAAAATGTTGCAAAATACAAGAGAGAGAGAGAGAGAACAGCTCAAAAAGGGAAAGGGCACAAGAAGAAGAAGAAACTGTATATGCAACATTAATATGTACAACAATATTACAGAGAGAATGAAATAACTGTATATGCAACATTAATATGTACAACAATATTACAGAGAGAATGAAATAACTGTATATGCAACATTAATATGTACAACAATATTACAGAGAGAATGAAATCATTTACCTGTCAAAGAAACTGGACAAGCCAGAAGACCGTCTTGTACCTCCGGAAGGCTTTAATTTCAAACTTGCTGTGCTAGATTCTGGCTTACATGAAGTGGGAGGCATACTGGGATTAGAATGCCTTGAGGTTTTCTCAATGCTTTTAGCACAAGGACCGGCATGACTAGCTTTATCAGGTTGCAGTCTGCCTGTTTCCTTCCCTGAAAGAGCTTCGTTTTCCTTGTTACATCCATCTATTAAATGCCCAAATCTCGCCGTACTTACTTGCAAGATCCTTTGCTTTTCAACCTGGAATGCAATCAAATATGAGAGTCCTTATATCAGTTTGACAAGAAACGCGGGGGGGGGGGGGGGG